TGATGTCGGTGTAGAAGATGTCGGTGTAGTAGATATCAGTTTAGTAGATGTCAGTGAAGAAGATGTCAGTGTATTAGATGTCGGTGTAGAAGATGTCGGTGTAGTAGATATCAGTGTAGTAGATGTCAGTGTAGTTGATGTCAGTGTAGTAGATGTCGGTGTAGTTGATGTCATTGTAGACATGGGTAGTAGATGTCGGTTTAGTAGATGTCGGTGTAGTAGATGTAAGTGTAGTAGATATCGGTGTAGTAGATGTCAGTGTAGTAGATGTAAGTGTAGTAGATATCGGTGTAGTAGATGTCAGTGTAGTAGATGTAAGTGTAGTAGATGTCGGTGTAGTAGATGTCGGTTTAGTATATGTCAATGTAGTATATGTCGGTGTAGTAGATGTCAGTGTAGTAGATGTCGGTTCAGTAGATATCAGTGTAGTAGATGTCGGTGTAGTAGATGTCGGTGTCGTAGATGTCAGTGTAGTAGATGACGGTGTAGTAGATGTCAATGTAGTAGATGTCGGTGTAGTAGATGTCGGTTGAGTAGATATCAGTGTAGTAGATGTCGGTGTAGTAGATGTCGGTGTAGTAGATGTCAGTGTAGTAGATGTCGGTTCAGTAGATATCCGTGTAGTAGATGTAAGTGTAGTAGATGTCAGTGTAGTAGATGTCGGTGTAGTAGATGTCGGTGTAGTAGATGTCAGTTCAGTAGATATCAGTGTAGTAGATGTCGGTTCAGTAGATATCAGTGTAGTAGATGTAAGTGTAGTAGATGTCGGTTCAGTAGATATCCGTGTAGTAGATGTAAGTGTAGTAGATGCAAGTGTAGTAGATGTCGGTGTAGTAGATGTCAGTGCAGTAGATGTCGGTTCAGTAGATATCAGTGTAGTAGATGTAAGTGTAGTAGATGTCGGTGTAGTAGATGTCAGTGTAGTAGATGTCGGTGTAGTAGATGTCAGTGTAGTAGATGTCAGTGTAGTAGATGTCAGTGTAGTAGATGTCAGTGTAGTAGATGTCAGTGTAGTAGATGTCAGTGTAGTTGATGTCAGTGTAGTAGGTGTCAGTGTAGTAGATGTCAGTGAAGTAGATGTCAGTGTAGTAGATGTCGGTGTAGTGGATGTCAGTGTAGTAGATGTCGGTTTAGTAGATGTCGGTGTAGTAGATGTCAGTGTAGTAGATGTCAGTGTAGTATATGTCGGTGTAGAAGATGTCAATGTAATAGATGTCGATGTAGTAGATGTCAGTGTAGTAGATGTCGGTGTAGTAGATGTCGGTGTAGTAGATGTCAATGTAGTAGATGTCAATGTAGTAGATATCAGTTTAGTAGATGTCGGTGTAGTAGATGTCAATGTAGTAGATGTCGGTGTAGTAGATGTCAATGTAGTAGATGTCGGTTTAGTAGATGTCAGTGTAGTAGATGTCGGTGTAGTAGATATCAGTTTAGTAGATGTCGGTGTAGTAGATGTCAATGTAGTAGATGTCGGTGTAGTAGATGTCGGTGTGTTAGATGTCGGTGTATTAGATGTCGGTTTAGTAGATGCCAATGTAGTAGATGTCGGTGTAGTAGATGTCAGTGTAGTAGATGTCGGTTTAGTAGATGTCAGTGTAGTAGATGTCGGTTGAGTAGATATCAGTTTAATAGATGTCGGTGTAGTAGATATCAATGTAGTAGATGTCGGTGTAGTAGATATCAATGTAGTAGATGTCGGTGTAGTAGATGTCGGTTTAGTAGATGTCAATCTAGTAGATGTCGCTCATTGTGTGCATGTACATTTGGAAATTGTTAACGACTTTAGAAATCCGATGTTTTCTGTGAGGATTGTGACGAAACAAAAATGTATGTGAGTGTATGTGGGTGAATGTAAGTGTGTGTGTTTGTGAGTGTGTTTGTGTGTGTGTTTATATGTGAGTGTGAGTGTATCTGTGTGTACGTATGTGTATATGTTTGTGTCTGTGTGCGTGTGTGTGTACGTATGGGTGTGCGTGTGTGTACGTATGTTTGTGTGTGTGTGCGTGTGTGTGTACGTATGGGTGTGCGTGTGTGTACGTATGTTTGTGTGTGTGTGTGTGTGTGTGTGTGTGTGTGTGTGTGTGTGTGTGTGTGTGTGTGTGTGTGTGTGTGTGTGTGTGTGTGTGTGAGTGAGTGAGTGAGTGAGTGAGCGAGCGAGTGAGTGAAAGAGTGATTTATAATTCTTCACTTTTTAGTATGCACTGAGAGGCGGTCGGGTAGCCATGTGGTTTAGATTCACACGTATGCTTATTTAAATTAATACATTAAATGATAGAAACGTAGGTACATTAACATTGCTCTCAAACATTTTTGTTTTCTTTATATATGTATGTCGTTCCTAAAATATCTTTTCGTTCACATGATTAGGTAAAGCTGCCGTGCCAACTAGCATCAAGTCAATATTAACATCAAAAGTATATTTCATAATTAAAAATAGTGCGGGAATTCGTGTCTAGCGTATTTAAAAAAATGGACATTCAAGTATAGATAAACTTTGCTCTAGACAGGCTGACGTATCTTTATGTACTGTTATGAAACTATTGTCATAATTGGATTGTTTTTCCCAAGACTGACATTATTTAAGAAATAAACGTCGAGTGGTAGTTGCTTATCGTTCAATAAACACCGCAGGGAGAATAAACCATGAGGGGATCAATAAACAACGACCAGTGGTCGTTTATTTCTTATACTAGATATCATCATTTTGTACAGCCTCTTTAAGGATGTTACCGCCTCCTTGGTCCAGTGGTAGAACGTCCGCCCGGAGAGCCGAAGGTCCGGGATTCGATCATACCAAAAGACGTTAAAAGATGGTACTTGTTGTTACCCTGTCTGGCGCTCGGCATTAAGGGGATAAAACAAGGATTCGGAGTCAGTATACTGTGTCTGAGTGGGGTAATCATGTTAAACTGCGGCATGGTATCTCAATGGGCTAGCACTATAAATCGGCATCAGTCCGGACTAGTACAAGCAGCTACACACGCACGTGCATGCACGTCGCTATATAAGTGCAATAATCTTGGACGCGACGTTAAACCTCACCTCACCTCAACTTTAAGGGTGTTTTTTAAATGTACAACCTTTAAATTTTTTTTACCCGTCTTTAAATACTGATAGCTCCCTGAATGGTTCACTCGAAATTGTCAGACTAAGCGGCGTAAAACCATACTCACTCACTCACTCACTCACTCAGACGCCCCAATCTTCAGATGTGCCATTCATCGGACAGGTCAGTGAAGTGTGACGAGTATCACTACCTAGCTATAGTCTTACCTTTTTAATTAAGGAGCATCTCCAAACTGTAAGCAGAGTAAGATACTTCAACGCGTTAGGTGATACAAATGAACCAGATTTGTAACCAGTGTTTGTAAGTTACGTTTGATCTGTGCACGGTTTTTTTCAAGGACATAGAACATGGGACTCGATAAAATCGTTTGAAGTTAGGGTTTATTTTGCATGTTTTTTCCGCAGTCTCCCACATCAGCATCCAACCTCTTCAGATTTGTGGAACTGGTACAAGGGATTGAGAAGCCAGAAGATGCTAAGCTGACCCAGACTTTGGTGCTGTTCCCCCATCCAGGGAGAAGAGGAGCTGAGAGTCTGATGGAGACTGCAGCGTCTGAAGGAGACAGTGTGCACTCCGCAGAGGACTTCTTGAACGTTTGGAGAAGGTTGGACATTTGCTAAAGCTGGGTTGAGAAATAATAGTTTGGTTCTCTGTTATTTGTGTAGAGATGTTCCACTGTACACGAAGGTAAACAGGTCACAATTATCAGAGCACTTAACCTTACCTAGTCCCAGTATACGCCGTCTGACATTTGGACCGCCTGACAATTGGGCGGTCTGACACTTGGGCTGTCTGACAATTGGGAGGTTAACCCCCGAATGCAATCTGACGTCGGCAATGTCGCACAAGTCCATTTTTTGAACAGTGGGTAACGTTTGGTATTTCGCGGATATTCTCACAATGTTCATTGTCTATTATCTGTACCTTTTCTCCCAATACCGATTGTCATATTTCACTTTTGAATGATATCGTTCGACCATTGCGTTCATCTACATTGTCCAGCATCATATATGGGCAACAACTCACTTGACGCTCCCCCCTCAAAAACAATGTCGTCCAATATACGACGTCATCAAGTTGCGAGCGCATATTCGAATCTCAGGAGTGACGTCATGATAGAACAAAGTTTTGTCGTGAAATAAACCACGTTTCGTTCTTCATTGTTCTTTGCGATTTATCGCGGAGCTCTCTAATGTACTAAAGGTTATACGGCGCTTCAATTCGCTGTGCAGAGTGGTCTCCCTTAGTCGTACCGGGAGTTAAATACAAAGGGGTCGGAACCACGATTCAACGTGATTGTGGTTTCCATGCATGTGGGAAACGTATGAGGCCTGTATCACTATTAATTTACATCCCAAATTTGACCTGACACGCCGTGATATAACAGAAATACCATCAGAAGCATCGTTATAATACTCACTCACTCTAAAAAGTGTTTGTTTGTTTGTTGTTTAACGGCGTCTGTATCCAGTGATTGACATCATGAGCATCGATCCACGCAACTGGGATACGATGACCTGCATCAACAAAGTCAGCGAGCCTGACCACACGATCCCGTCAGTCACCTCTTACGACAAACATGGGTTGCTGAAGATCAAGTCTAACCGGGATCTTCAAGGGTTAGATGCAAGTTATCTAGTCGCAAATGGTATATAAAGTTCATGTTCACACACGGAATTATAATGGCAAAATCGTAAAGTCGTAAAAAACATTGACGGGGAGACTAACGTTACAGCGGATGTAGCCCCAAATAAAAAACAATAACAATTTTAATTCGTGTCTTTCCGTTCAGTCCACTGAGAAATTCGTCATCGCCCGCCCCCTTCCGCTTGTCTCGGAATGTCACGAGTGATCGTGAATGTCGTAAAAACATTGACGGGGAGAGTAAAGTAACGAAGACCACACGCCAAACAGACAAATGACAACACACACATAGCGTTATATATCTGTTTTTATTTACCAACTCAATACTCAGCCTCTCATCTCGACAGTTCAGGTTGGCAACACCTCAAATATAAAGACTACATGAAAGAAATCTGTCGGGACTTTGATACAAAAACAGAAGCATGTTACCTTGCATAGCTCAGTCATATACATGTATAATCTTTCTTTGCGGTCTAGGGGCACGGGTGGCCCAGTCGTCTAAGGCGCCACGATTCGCTGTGCAGAGTTGCGTCCCTTGGGCCCGCCAGAAACTTATGATTGTGGGTTCAAATCCCGGTTCGTCCCGATTATGTTTGTTAGGTTTGTCAGCACCATACCCGTGCTCGTGGGTTTCCCCGAAGTGGTAAACGTCTGAGACCTGCATCACTTCGGGCTTTCCTCCCAAGCTGGCACGCCGTGATATAACTGGAATACTGTTAAAAGCGGCGTTACACCCAACTCACTCAGTCTGCGTTCTAAGTCAAAACTCTGACGTTGGTTCTAAACCTCATGGTTTCTGTGTACAGACAAACCGTTTGCCGCTTTGTCTCTGAGGTAAACTGACTATACCACTTTACTTAAGAGACAAAGCACCAAACGGTTTGTCTGTAAACATACTGACTATACCACTTAGAGATATACTGTGTGAAAATCAATATACTTGTACCAATAGTCTTGCAGCGACAATAGACGAATGACAGTTTAAATACGGAACTTACTAACATCATTGCACCATTATGTCCAATCTCACGATCGAACAATGCACCAAAAAAAACCTTCATTAACAAATCGACCGTTTATAATTGTTCTTCTTGCTTCACATAGCATCTTTCAAAATGGTGTTTGAAACAGGTTTATAAAATACTATGAAATCAAAGACGCTTTGTCGTTAAGGATGTGTTTTCAAGGCACGATAGCGTTTTGTACTCGTATGCTCTCAACCGGCTATATTTAGTTTGTAAGTGTCTCGCATAAGCATAACACTCTAACACTCACGTCTATGGAAGCCCAGTGTTGACTTCAACGTATGACGTCACGCATCAACTATTACGAGACAGGACATACTACATTCCTTTGGAAGAGTGTTCCATACATGCAAGTCTATCATGAATGTCTAGTACATAATATCAAGAAATGCATGATTATCTTGCGATTGTAGTTCCATCTCTTTAATGAGAAAAATATATAATATAATATCATATTCCATTGAACTGTTATGCAGATTGCATAGAATTAGTAAGGGAACGAAATCCGTTTCGAGGGGAGAAACACGACTAAGTGCCAATATTCTTGTCGTGGCTCATAAGATTGTGATGTGAATTTGAATATTGATTTTTTTATCACAAGGCCTGGGAAAAATATCTCGTAGAAACCGAAAAGAAATCACGGTATTTTGCATCATATCGGTTGTAAATCAATACTAATGTTTTCTTTACGTGAGAGAGATGGTATTGATTCTCATACAAGGTGACATCCTGATATAGATACTGGGTCAGACGTTGCATGTTTTCGAAAGTGGAACGCTCCGAAAGGATGTAGCTGATTCTGCTGTCTTGAACTAGTGAAATAATGGCTGTTGGTCCAACCCGATATTCACGCATGCGCATGCACATGCGCCGTAACGGACTCTATCTGGTTTTACCAGCGTGACGAACTCGTAACGTAGTGTAGTGTAGGGCTCCCTGCGTATTGTCCGTCATACGGAATAATCTGATTAATCTGAACTGACATTTGTCATCTTAATGCTTTTCCTATTTGCAAAATGTAATTGAAATGTTAGGTTATCATTCAAGCGATCAATGTTGATCTCGAAACACATTTTCATGTTATTCGACATGACAAATGGATTAATGTTGCTATGAATCGTGTACACGTAGACATGAAGGAGTACTCACTGTCTATTTCTCGTTCGATTGTAGAATGTTTCCACTCTATTTAATACTATACATTTTCCGATTAAGCACCACTGTGGGTTGGAACGGAATTTGCTTAACCATTGCCATTCGAAACCCTATTATAGAGCTTCATTGGGGACTCCGGGGTATGAATAAGAGACTGTTTTAGGATATACTCCCCTTTTAAGTGAGTCCTCCCCCCAGGCAGGGCTCTCAGAGTGACAAATCCCGCAGGCTCCATTAGTAAAACATCTATCAAACGCGTGAGGTTCCCTCGAGGTGATATCTCTAAATTTAGAATGGTTTTAGGGAAATAGCATTCTCGATACCGCCTTCGACAGGGTCAGGCGTTCATTGATTGTTCCCACTCAAGGCGGGTTTAAGAGTTTTATGAGTAAATAATTCACTCTGACACACTTTCCCCGAATTGCCTTTAAACCCCAGCGGCACGAAATAGAGGTTAAATAGCAAACAGGCCTTTTAAAGCATCCCTGCATTGTTATTTAATGTCTTCGGAATTGAATTTCGACTATTGTTAGATCTGAAATAATACAATGATATTTTCCTTTAATTCGTTATTTGAGACTAAATATTATCAAGCTTCGTTTTATTTTCTTTAAAATTGATGATTGTTATTCAGCCATTATCGACTGTACTTGAGAAGCCGCTTAAGCGAGGCCACACTGATAGCACGTTGCCTGATTCTTTAAAGATGTCATCTTAACCCTGTCTTGTGTCCCGATGACATTGACAATGACATTGGCCGTTGTTTCATTAGGTACTTCTTGTGAAAGTTGGGTCAGGGGTTGGATAGTTTCTGTGGGTAGGTTTGAAAGTTAAGAAATGAGTATTCACAAAGCCGTTGGTTGGCTGTGATTGGTTAGTTTATCTGGAGGATTGAACAGGGTTTGGCTTTGATTGGTTGTGATTGGTTAGTTTATCTGGAGGAGGGAACAGGGTTGGGGTTTGATTGGTTGTGATTGGTTAGTTGATCTGGAGGAGGGAACAGGGTTGGTGATTGATGAGTATTCACAAAGCCGTTGGTTGGCTGTGATTGGTTAGTTTATCTGGAGGAGGGAACAGGGTTGGGCTTTGATGGGTTGTGATTGGTTAGTTTAACTGGAGCAGGGAACAGGGTTTTGTGTTTGATTGGGTGTGATTGGTTAGTTTATCTGGAGGAAGGAACAGGGTTGGGCTTTGATTGGTTGATTGGTTTAGTTGGCTGAAGGAGGGATCGAGGATGGGAATAATGGTTAACACGCCCATGGTTAAATGGTGAATTCACCTTTAGTTTGAATCATTGAGAGAGGGATGCTACCTAACTTGCTCTCATTCTGCTCCGATGTAATTTCAGTTATGCTCCGCATGAACAAAACAAAGTTGTTAGAAGATTTGGGTAACGGTGATTGATCTTATTTATGTGATAAAAAATGTAAAAGTTGTAAAAAAAGAAACATTTAACTCAACGATCGGGCTGCCGACACACAGAACTTTGGTGCTATATTGTGTGGAACATTAACACTATCGGTGTGCCCTACCCGGAACGAGCAGATCGTATGCTGTAGTATGCATAGTTACCGTCAAATATAACAGCCACTGTCAAACAAAACAGTCACTGTCAAACAACACAGTCACTGTCAAACAATACAGTCACTGTCAAACAAATTCAACGAAACGGATCACATTTCATAACAGCAAATGGTCATTCTTCTAGCAACACATAAATAAATATATTCAAAATTTCTACTTCTCTGATGTATCTGATGTACAAAAAACTGCCACGCAAAAGAAAGTATACACTTCAAGATCCAAAAAAGAGACCAAAAAATGACAAACGGTATCAAAACGTTACTGGACCGAAAACAGTCCCCGAAACACTGCAAAACTTACGTCTAAACACAACTATGATACCCGTATCAAATACATCATCATCGAATAACCATTTCTTGTTTGTTTCATTTCTTGGCCACCATCAAACATGGGTGTATACTTTCTTTTGGCCTGCAGATTATGTTTTTTTAATGAAATAAAACATATAATAACATTTCTAGATAATAGACGCGGACAAACATTGCCAACTGAATATTAACTGTCAACAACACCATACTATGCAGTGACAACAAAACTGCCAAGGACTTCGTGCCAATTTAGGTAATCATGGAGACAGTTTCATCTTCGTTGAGGCCAGTAAGTCACGAAGAACTATATTATCATTTTCTGCAATGAAAATAATCCCATGTACAAAATCCAACTCCATCAACGCAATACACACTTCTAAATCCAGCAAACTGCTTTCAAATCAAAGATTAGCAAACCCTGTACAGTGAAACTCGTTAATTCAGATGGTACCGTTTCGAGCGAAATCGTCCGGATTCACAAATGTCCGGATAAACGAATCATTGGTAATATTAATGTTCCCTCTACCATATGTAGACGTTTACAACAGTGATCATCCCGAGGACGCGCTTCCAAAACCAGTGACCAAAATGATGTCCCATTCAATTCCCTATTTTGACGTGTACCACTTTTAATTGTGGATAATTGACTTGCCTTTGCATGTGTTTGCACTGGTCGAGCAGGGTGCGCCCACCTTTCCGCGAACACCTGGGGTCATCACTATTTGATAGTGATTCATAAAACACATGCCCATGAGGTGGTCGGAATCGTACAATGGACTCTGCTTTAAGCAGATAGTTCTTGTGATTATCGAAATGGTTCTGATTATGCATTATCGAAATGCGGATTAACGGAGTCCTGTATAACGAGGTTGCACTGTAGTACAAAAATGAGACAAAGGATAAAACGTGTTTCAACCTCAACACTGACTTCGAATGTTTGAATAATAATGAGAAATCGATTAAAGACACATGTCATTCTTCGCATGTTCCAGCAGGTTTCTACGACTACGGTTTTGGCTGAGGGTTGGAGGGACTGAGTTTTAATATTTTGATTTTTCTAACAAAATATATGTATATATATATATCTATGTATTGGATGTTAAGTTAATGTAAGCCAAGCACTATTGATAACTCTACACACGCTCACTCGCTCAACATTCACACGGACTTTGACTTGGATAAATACTCGATACTACCTCGGCAATGTTGCCAAGAAATGTTGTATCTGCGACGTATCATCTTGAAAAGATGCTAAAAATGGGAAAATATTAGTTATTGTGACGTTTGGAACTGAAGCTTAGATCAATATATACAAAACAATTCCTTCAATATCATTCGTTTTTTCATAATTCATTATGAGTCACGGAAAGAAAACGTCTTAAATTAATTTCTGTAAGAATTGTTCGGAAACTCCAATGTCCGTTCTGATAAGGTTCGGTCTATCGAGGTTCCATCTTGTTGGGGTTGGAAGCGGATAATAGATGAACCAGTTTTTCTCAACAAGTACACGTGTGAGGACATTATAATTTCACCTAAAGCCCTGCCCAAAGTAATAAGGAATGTTTACATCGTACATCATGAGGAGGATGACAAGAGCTCTGGCCGTTTTAACATCACACTAAATCTTAGGGTATCCGCTGGTTACATCCTGTAGGTTAGACCCTGTGACTTAGACCCTGTGGTTAAACCTGCTGGTCATATGTACTTCGGGTGACGTGTCAAAAGTTCAAAAGTTGTTTCTGTAACTTTGAATCGATATCTCAAAGTTTGGACACGCGAGTGAACAAATGCTGTTTGATATTTGCAGGTGAATATATAATATATAAGCATTGATACCGCCACTTGTAAATGCTGCTATTTCCGAAGATTTCCGATAGCTACTGATAATGAAATACCACATGACGCCTTCCTATTCAGCAAAGTGCCCTTCTGACGAAGGTTACTGTTAAGATTGTGTTGTTCAACCAGATGTTTGTGATTCGGTTAACGTCATGTACACGTCAAATGAAATATTTTATGCCATTAATATATGATATCTTCCTTCTAAAGTTACACATAAACCTGAAAGAATATCATTTTGTCGGCTCAAGAATTAATATAAAATTGTATTCCCGTGGTTGTTTAGGATAAGTTCAAGTAACCCTCGGACATTCGAAATATTTAAAGGTCAATTAGACACGGTATTTGCTTTTGATCTTTCGACACTTGGCATTGTTCCATTTTCTCGGATACTTTTACCAAATGTGCCAATATTTAGCAACTTATTCAGATGTTCGAACTCAGTACTGCATTCATGTCACTGACACTCATATTTGGAAGTTTTTACAAATGACATTTTATGCATAATCTTGCGGTCAAACAAATGACGATATGTTGACCTGTGACCTTGACATTAGGTCTTAAGTCATATGTGACCTTGACTTTCCGATGCAATTATTCATGTGGTCAAGCTTCCTCTTCATCTTCTTCGTTGGTCACGCCTGCCACGTTCGGAATGTATCGGGGATGCGAGATTGGCACGTTCGGTTTTATCCGATTGTTGGCAACACTATACCAATCGGCGCTGTTCTGGGCGATTTTCACACCTCGGTAAGGATACTCGGGCGTTGGAGACCCGGATGAAGATTGTTTTCAAGCCATCTGTGGGTTTACGTTCAAGATTGTAAATCTCCCTGGTCTAATGTCCAGTCACCGATCTCACGTATTCCTGATGCCATGTCTTCTTTTCCAAAGCGATTGGTAATCACTACAACAAACGAATTCGTCGCTGAATATGGAGTCCACTAGTCTGAGTAGGAGAACTAGATTTGCCCATGGCTACCTGGCATGGAGGTCGTAAATCTAAGTTTGGGCCGTTGGCCCCAAGTCAGTGTAATACTTCACGATATTGTATGCCCTAATAAGGGTGGCCGGAAATACATCTACTTTTGGAAGTGTCGAATGCTGGGAGATTTCGGTAGGTATCTACCGGAAATCGGTGCTGCCACCTGCATCGGAGGAAGCGCCGCCTGTCGGAGTTTAAGAATGCGCGAACGGCAGATCACGCATCTCAGTGGCAGACTTCTCTGCGAGACGGCCACTTGTATTGTCTTAATGAAGCACTTCCGGCATACCACTTTGTGCCCACATGGGTAGGTTTGCATCGTTGCCTTGGCGCCTAGGCATATCACACACTGAAATAAAACACGGAAATGAGGTTAAAATCATTCATTGCATGTACCGTTATATTGTGTTTGTTGCTTAATGTCCAATCTCATTAAAATCAGATCTTAGTTCTCGCTGTCGCTAAACAAAGATCTGAGGACATCCCATTGCGGGTCACGTCAGACCGACCTTGCGCGAACTTTGACCGACCAATGGAATGACCACTCAGCAGTATTCCAGCTATATGACGACGACCTGTAGTCATGGCCAGACAAGCTTAAGCCAGTGGTTGATATTATGAGCAACAATACCACACCGAAGAGGCAGGAGGATACACACCAAACCAAGTCACCTTGCCTGACCACCCGATTCATGAAATCGTCTCTTACGACAAGCATAAATACATTTATATGACATAACTTAATATTTAAAAAAAATCATATATGAATACTCATCTATCAATATTTAAACGATATGAGATAGATATATATATATATATACTCATTCATTGTCTGAGATAATCTCGTTCTAAATTGTTTAGGGGCGGTTGGGTAGCCTAGTGGTTAAAGCGCTCGCTCGTCACGCCAAAGACCCGGGTTCGTTTCCCGACATGGGTGCAATGTGTGAAGCTTATCTCTGGTGTCCCCCGCCGTGATATTGTTTGAATATTGCTAAAAGCGGCGTAAAATCATACTCACTCACTCAAAGCGGGGCAAATAACAACATGTCTGCACTGAGTAATACAACATAATCCTTAATTCGAACGCTTCGAAGTCGTCTAAGGAATATCAAAACCCGGTTCGCCCCGATTATTCTAGGTTTGTCAGCACCATACCCGTGCTCGTGGGTTTCATCGAAGTGGTAAACGTCTCAGACCTGCATTACTTCGGGCTTTCCTCCCACATTAAGCTGAAACGCCGTTATATAATTTAAATACTGTTTAAAGCGGCGTTAAACCAAACTCACTCATCCGCTATGTAATAATAGCATAAAGGGAGTCTGATATTTTGGTCATGTTCGCAATTCTATCACTCACTGGTACAAAATTGCAAAAAAATCGTTTGCCTAAATATATTTGGATAAAACGATTGTCTAACTGTCGCTGTAAAATATAGTCGCATAATTCCTTCGCCCAAATGCATAATTGGAAGTGACAACTGTTTTTGGAGAGTATAGGCCAGACTGCAGCTGACGATATTAACAGATTATCGCACACACCAAAAACAGTTCGTATTCTGAGAGGGCGGTGGAGTAGTCGTGTGGTTAAAGTGTTTGTTCGTCACGCCGAAGGCCCAGGTTCGATTCCACACATGGGTACAATGTGTGAAGCCCATTTTTGTTGTGCCCCATCGTGATATAGCGGGAATACTGGAAGAGGCATCACTCACTCACTCACTCACTCACTCTCTTACACATCCCAACTCCCTCGTCTCCCGGGTCTCCATTACCACATGCCATAACCTTCCTTCCTGCAAATGTTAACATCAGGAAATACGTGAATCTCAACGACATAGATCGCCGAAAGACAATTCACTCCAGACAAGCCGTTCTACTCTCCAACATCATCAGGGGGCACGGTCGTCTAAGGCGCCGCGATTCGCTGTGCAGAGTTGCGTCCCTTAGGCACGCCAGAAACCTGTGATTGTGGGTTCGGATCCCGATTCACCCCGATTATGTTTCTAGGTTTGTCAGCACCATACCCGTGCTCGTGGGTTTCACCGAAGTGGTAAACGTCTGAGACCTGCTTCACTTCAGGCTTTCCTCCCACATTAAGATGACACGACGCGATATAACTCGAATACTGTTAAAAGTGACGTTAAACCCAACTCACTCACTCCAACATCATCAGTATACAATGAGTACAACTCTCCCTTTGCCATCAGTATGCAATGAGTACAACTCTTCCTTTGCCACCAGTATGCAATGAGTACAACTCTCCCTTTGCCATCAGTATACAATGAGTACAACTCTCCCTTTGCCAACAGTATACAATTAGTACAACTCTCCCTTTGCCATCAGTATGCAATGAGTACAACTCTCCCTTTGCCATCAGTATACAATGAGTACAACTCTCCCTTTGCCAACAGTATACAATTAGTACAACTCTCCCTTTGCCATCAGTATGCAATGAGTACAACTCTCCCTTTGCCATCAGTATACAATGAGTACAACTCTCCCTTTGCCATCAGTATACAATTAGTACAACAGCAGAACCAGATATCACCAAAAAGCAGAAAACGTCAATCTGATGACACAATCTGATGACACAATGTGTGACACAAGCGCGTCTCATCCACAAGCAAACTTGTCCTAATCACCAGGCTGGCGCTCACTGGGTTTAATAGCGAAATGTCACAGTCAGTAACCGATTCCTCAGGGGCCTGCGCTTTTTGTGTACTCACAAGCTCTTGTACAGCTTTCGTGGATTTATTCTTGTGACATACTGGCTGAGAAATAAGCCAGGGCACACACAGATGCTCTATCAGTTACATCCGGGGGAAGCCGCAGATTTGTGCTATTTTTCCTTCACAAAATATGCTTAAAGCGCACTCCCTTTTTTTTATAAAATAATGGGTATATGCTCTTTTGACATATCAAATCCCGTTCTTGTCAATAAAATAAAATAATTCCATAATAACAAGAAATCTGGTTATAGATTCCGATTATATCATGAGCATGTGTTTATGAATGGAACGACATTCTTGTACTTTTATCTATTTCACAGGAATTAAGTTATGATTATTAATTGTGGTTTATTGGAGACAACAATCCGTACATTCCACTGGTTTAACAAATAGAACACGTAGTACTTACTATTTGATGTGTTACACCTTCATAACGAGTATAATATTCGGCAACATTTTATCCAAATATATTTGTCATGAGTGAGTGAGTTTGTCGTGTCGCCTAGACTTGGGGGAAAAGTCTGATATGACGCAATACTGAGACGTTACCACTATGGTGAAACCAACACTCACGGGTGCCGCGGGATACAATATATGAAAAGTAAAAAAAACAAAACAATCTCCTTAAAATCAGACCTAAGTCCTCGCTGCCGCTAAACAAAGATCTGAGGACATCCCATTACGGGTCACGTCAGAACGACCTTTCATCCGACCAATCAAAGCGTCGCTTACCAGATCATGAAAGTGACAGTCGGAATGTGTTTTCTAATCATGCAACCTCCAAAACATTAACACGGGGTATTCCGAACGACAGTTACGGCCCGTACGACTGGTTCCGTCAAAATCTCTCGCCTCCGTGGGATTATCATTTGAACGGAAGAGGCGTTGTACAGTACGTGTGAAGCACTGCTATACAATCTCAACCATATAGAAGACATTCCGGAATGTTCGTTTGTTCAGTTTTTAAAAAAAATATAGAACTGTGTCAACTTATTTTTCAAGCGTTGTCTGAAATGGAAGTCGCCAGGTTGAAACGAGTGCCGTAAAGCTCGAGAAAGGTGCTTTCTAATTGGCTGATGTCGACTTCTCGTTAGTCATTTCAGTGGTCGGTCAAAGTTTGCGAAAGGTCGTTCTGACGTGACCAGTAATGGGATGTTCTCAGATCTTTGTTTAGCGGCAGCGTGAACATAGATCTGATTTTAATGAGATTGTACAAAACCGACGAACCTATTCCATAATCATAACAAATCTTTGCCGGAAGCGGAGTCCATTGTACGATTACGACTTCACCATGATCATGTTTTTATGAATCATTATCAAATACCGAGCGGTAAGCAAAGGTAAGCGTATCCTGCCCCACTGGTGGCATCCGTCACAAACACATGCAAAGGCAAGTCAAATGTTCACCTGCAAAAACACGGGAACATATGGTACAAGTCAAAATAGAGAATAGTATTAGACATAATTTTTGTCACTGATGCGTCATATTTGGAAATGTCCGATGCATGTCTAGCTTAAAATGCTTTGAAAGCTTTACTGATGCCTTGAAGCTATGCCTCGGCGCACTGAAAAATATCAAAAGTCTGGGATAGAAAAACAAGTGACTAATGTCATGAACACCCTCCCATAGCGTACGATGACACGCAATCAACCAAGTCGCACAGACAGGCGATCCACTTTATCCGACCTAACCTAACTCCCGTCCCCATGTAGTTTCTGTAGCAGATTTAAACGAATACTTGCATTTACCTTGAAACCACTTAATGACCAAAAGGGGCGGTCGGGTAGCCTAGTGGTTAAAGCGTTCGCTCGTGACGCCGAAGACCCGGGTTCGATTCCAGACCTGGGTACAATGTGTGAAGCCCATTTCTGGTGTCCCCCGCCGTGATATTGCTGGAATATTGCTAAAGTGCCGTAAAACCGTACTCACTAACTCCAACATCATCAGTATACAATGAGTACAACTCTCCCTTTGCCATCAGTATGCTCACTCACTCACTTAATGACCAAATGAATATAATGCACAATTTATTACGAGTTGACATATGTGTATATACTAGTTTATTCTCGCGTTTTGTTCCCAGCATACCGCCTTTGCCGATCGGTCAGGCAATCTGAATATCAATTTCTATTTTTCTATCACGTCCTAAACCACACTTGTGATAATCCATTTCCAGCTCTTTGTCCTGAAACTGAATACCTCGCATATGATATGTGTGTCGGCGTCAGTCACGACGAGAACGGCAAATCATTGCAATGAATAAGGCATTAGCTTATAGATAGACGAACACTGTTAAGGAATAACTATTTTGAGAACAATATAAAAATGAATATTTATTAAAGATATATTTCTTATAAACAAATATGATTTATGCCTTGTAGTTATTTTACCCTTGAATGTGTTTTTATGAGTTATTTATGTCTATACTCAGAGTAGGTTTTACATTTTAGGCACAATCATGATAGTATGAAGTATAATCAGTCTGTAAAAAAATCGTATTCGCCTCAAAATACATAAACGTCTCCTCACCGTCCAGCAAGGTCTCTAAAAGATCTTGTAAAAAATCACCGCTAAAGTAATATAGTCATGTTTTTATGTGACTACCTCTTTAAGACCAAGCAAC